TCCTGAAATGAGATTCTTCATCATTAAAAATAATATTTATTTGGCAAAGTAAAGTCTTGCTAGGAGCAAGGAGTAGGTATAGAACAAAGCAGAAAACTGCTCTTATATTCCATCATCAAATACAGATGCAAAAGACCTTGAAACATTAAATTTACAGTACCAGAACAAAATAACTAAAATTGAAATCTTAACATCCTGATTTGAAGTTTACAATTGAAATTTTCAAAAGTAAATGAATAGTATAAAATAAATTATATTAGAAACACAAATATACAGTATTAAAAAAAATATAGACATAACTAATCAGTAGGCCTATCTTATTAGATAAAGTATTTTGGTAGTTGAAATTGATGTGGATTTAAATTACAGATAAACTTGCCTAAAGTCGACTTTGCCTAAGTCGACTTAGTTTACATGCTAAATTTTTGTGTTTTCCATTAATTTACAACCTGTAAGTCAAATTTTATCTAAGTCGAACAATTTTTCAATGGTATTTTGGATTCGACTTAGGTAAGTTCAACTGTATATGGGAAAATTGATTGCAGGTCTATTTTCCCTAACATTTTTAATGCTACAGTAATTCATACGAATGGCATTAGATTGCTTGACATTTATGGGTCTGGTACAGTGGTGATCATTACCAGCCCTTCGGGTCTGCTTTGCATTGAGGGTTCTGCAATGAGCTGTAGTTAACCTCTTCTCTAGACTTCAGGTCTGCATATGTTTCCAAACCCCTGTTATCAGTTGATTGTTGGACGTCTGGTACACGAGTAGTTGTTACTTCTCTTCTGTTAGTGGCCTTTGTGCATTGGTTCAATTTTCGGGAGAGATGTATATTAACAGCTATTTCAATGACAACAAGTGGGAACAGAACTGCTATGATAACAGATAGGACAATAATGCCAATGTTAGAAGATTGACACATGCTGGTCTCCACATCAAGAAGGATCGTAGGTGAGCTTTCTTCTATACATGCTTGGTCAGGTGTTAAATTGCAACTTTGTATTCCATTAGTACAAGAAAAGTTTTTTTCTAAGTCATCTGCTTCAACAATAAATGTATAATTTAAGTATATGTAAGATTGAATTGTAACTGGGATTATGTTTTTAATTTCTCCTCCATTCCTTGATTATTGTAGTTAGACCCATGGATTACCAAGTTCAGAGTAACAAGAGATAGTAACATTTGAACCAATTAATGCAGATGAAAAATCACATGATTCACAGATTGGATACAAAGATGATGGAGAATAGTAAGCTACCACGATGAGACCACCTGATACTAGCACTGCCTCACCTGTGCTCTTAAGAGTTACTTCACAGGTGTAATTGTTACCATTAAGCAGTTAAGATAAACAACAAGTCCTTCATGTATTATACCACCTCCAATAGAAACACTACCAAAGGATGGAGTGCCCTGTGCAGGAAGAACCAGAAATAAGCATATGATTCCAATACTGTACAACATATTCAAACTGTATATAAACAATGAAAGCTGAAATTCTGTATACTTCTATCACAACATTTTTGTGTAGAAATCAGTTGTCCGAAGCTTTTTGTGCAGCAATCAGATTTCTGAAGCTTATCACCACTCAGTTATTGAGCTAACAGTGTTTTGGTACTAGTTTTAAAGCTATATAATTCCTGTGTTATAATTAAATTGTGAATGTTATATTTCCTGCTTCTTTGAAATGTACATAGTTGGTTACCTTTGTTTTTATTATTTGCATTGTACCTATGACTCCTTTAACAAATATTATTATAGCCACTCTAGCCACTGCATTCTGTAGTCTTTTAGTACAAATGATCTTCCTTGAATAGATTTTTTTTAAATTCTGAGCTGCTTTAGTATTTCCCTTCCCTACATTGGTTATTTTATTGCATTCCATTTCCTTCATTTTTTCTTCAAAAAACTTCATATTCATGGACAGGAGAAAATACAAAAACAAAAATATGTACAAATAGATAGAAAAATTATATTCATGAAATAAATATAACTCCAAGTTAATTGTAATTAGAATTTATTAAAAACTATACAGTATTGCATATCAAGAGAAGAAAACATAAAAATGTTCATATTTATTAATGAATACTGTAATGTTTTACACCCAATTCAGAGGGCAGTATAATACTTTGGTATAATTATAGAGAAAATAGTAGAAAAAGTAAGACATCAGTGGCAACGAACGTGGTCACTCAAAACCATGTCCTGTCTGACCTATATGTTATACTGTAGGGACTTCAAATATAAAAGCTAATCTAATTTATATGATGATAAATCTAACTAAGCAAGTTGTAATTTACAGAACATTTATTCTAACAAAACTGGTGGTTTCAAAGATAGGGCCTCAACTGATAAAAAAATGTTTATTGTAGGTTTTACATCTATTTTGTATAGAAGGGTGTTTGTCTGTTTAAATTATATAGTTTGGATACGGTTCACATTGCCAGGCATGCGATATTTGATTCTGGGTAGATATAGTATAAGGCCCAAAAAATTGTTTGTTTGCCCTTTAATTAATGCTGAAAATTGTATAGGAGTGGGCACAGAAAGTTTTTTTTTTCCTGTCACCAAAATTCAATGCAAAATTATTGCAATATGCCTGTCTCACTACAGTATTTGTTTTTCAAAGGAATTATCAGACTCAATGAAAATAACCCATAATCAATTTATATATGACATATATGTGGTGATTTTGAATGTATTTGAATTTTTTGTTGTTTGTAATCTTGAATTTTTGTGCTACAATAATTTCAGACTGGTTCTAATTTTTGTATTTTACCATATACCAGAATAAATAAATATAAATAAAATATTGTAATGAATTTAGGCCTACTGTAGAATGGCGATACCTTACATCAGACACCAAATTTAGACAACTTTCATGTGCAAAATGGAGAAAAATAAAGACCACTTTCTTAAATTTGTAAACAAACAATCGGAAAAAAAAAAAAAAATTGGAACACTGCCCCTATTTTTCAGTGAGCTAGGGGAGGGCAAACAAACAATTTTTTTTTTGGCCTAATATTCATTTGCCACTGCCTTGAACATTCCATTCCAAACATCATCCAGTCATTAAGAACAGTTTCTTTCATATGGTGTGGCATTTTCAACAATTTCTAACTATTGGTATTTTGGTTGCTTTGTAGATTGGGCATATTCAGAATATGATGCATTTTCAATTGTAAATTCACTTCTGATGTTTTTCTCTTGGTTGTTTGCAACTCCCTCATCTGTAGAATGTTGATACGTGTTAGTTGCTCCTTGTTTTGTGTTTCTTTTGTAGAAACATACACCAATAACTAAGCAGAAGGCTAAGAATAGAACAGCTCCAATGCTAGCCCCCACCACAGTTTGTAGGCCTATTTTACTAGATGCAGGTTGCACCTCTGAATCAGTTGGAAGGACAGTAACAGTGGTAGATGATTGATGCATACCAGCGTCAAGAGGCATTGTTGGACAACCTTCTGCACTTACTTTGTCAGATGCTAAATTGCAGCTTTGTATTTCATTAGTACAAGAAAAGTTACTTCCTAAGTCATCTGCTTCAAGAATAAATGTATAATTCAAGTATATGTAAGAATAAATTGTGATTGTTGTTAGGTTTTCAATTGCGTCTCCATTCCTTAACCATTGTAGTTGGACATGTGGATTACCAAGTTCAGAGTAACAAGAGATTGTGACATTTGAACCAGTCAAATTAGATGAAAATTCACATGGTTCACAGATTGGATACAAAGATGATGGAGAATAGTGAGCTACCAGGATAAGACCACCTGATACTAGCACTGCCTCACCTGTACTCTTAAGAGTTACTTCACAGGTGTAATTGTTACCATGAAGTAGATGACCAAGATCACGACCTCTCACCTGTCTTATTCTTACATCAGATGTGCTGTGGAGTGTGTAAGCTTCTGCCTCTCTACCTAGGTCATTATTTATCAGCATACCATCCCTGTAAATGATTGTCCTATCACCAGTTATTGTTTCTCTATACCAAGAGATTGAGTATTCATCAGTCAGGTTCACCACTGCACAGTTGAGATCAACTATACTTCCTTCAGTTAGTATACCAGTTCCAGTGGTGACACTACCAAAGGATGGAGTACACTGTGCAGGAAGAACCAGGGCTAAGCCTATGATTCCAATACTGTACAACATATCCAAACTGTATACAAACAATGAAAACTGAAATTCTGTATACTTTTATCACAAAATGTTTATGTATAAATCAGTTGTCAGAAGCTTGTCACCACTCAGTTACTGGGCCAAGAGTGTTTTGGCACTCGTTTTAATGCTGTATATTTCCTGTTAGCATTTATAATTCAAATGTGAATGTTATATTTCCTGTTTCTTTGAATTTTACATGCCTTTGGTAACCTTTTTTGGTATTATTTGCATTGTACCTATGACACCTTCATTAAGGTTTAGACAGTAACGACAAAAATATTGCTGAAAAACTTGTGTGTGACCTAGGATGAAGGAAATACATTACACAAGTTACTGGTTTTACTGGTTCTTATTTTACTCGTCCTAATGAACGTTTGAATAGCCCCAAGACTATTATTGAATTACACATTGTAAACAAACTGCGTCAGCATGTGTTTTTGTCAGAAAAGCATGTATTCCTGGCCCTGCTATGATTGGTTGGTTGTTAAATTTGATTGTCACTTTAGAAGGTTCATTGTGCTTTTAAATGTTAAGCATTGGTAATCACAACAACTTGGGATCAGCAACTTATTGTTTTTTTAGTAATGACAACCTCATCGTGATGTGAGATGCTTGCTTGACAGGAAAAGTTTGACTTCACCTGCCACTGGTATTGCCAAAGATTGTTTATATTTGTTGTACATGTGTTATTGTACTGTGCCTGAATATATTTTGGGACAGCATGTGTTTTTGTCCGACAAGCGTGTATAGATTGGATTTGATTGGATTTATTCGGTGTAAACATCAAGGATAGCCCACGAAAGTCTAGAAGAAGTCTTATTTCCAATGGTGTCCTTCTGGTGGTGATTGGTCAGTACACTGGGAAACAATCCCCTACTCTTTTCCGAAGAGTGTACTGCGTTCTTTAACGTGCACATGGGCTATATTGGACACGGGACAAACGGCTTAAACGTCTCATCCGAAAGACGGTGCGCTGTTTTAGCTTGTATTTCAGCCCTCTAGCTGAAACACAAGGAGAGGAAGCGATGGGATTTGAACCGGGGACCTAGAGATCTCCACGGTTCAGCGCACACACAATGGCTACCACCAGATAAGCCGATTGAGCTAAGCTGCTCTCTCAAATGTATTCCTGGCCCTACTCTTATTGGTCACTTCAGAGGGTTCATTATGCTTTTTAAGTGTCAAATAACACTTTTCATCTGAGTTCTGTTCAAGCCAGCATAACCACACAACCCGAACCCGGGTCCAGTTTTTTCTGGGTGCAGTCACACTTAATGTATTGCCAGCCTTGAGTTACAGGTATAGGCCTACTAAGCACCTATTGTCTGTAGATTATCCCAAGTGAATGAAATGAAAATATTTATAATAAAGAATAACATAATTTTTAAGAGAATAATTGCTAATTAATTTGGGTTTTTCTTTGTCTTTGCAGTTGGTGGAAGGTTCCCGAATCCATCCAAAGATAAGAGTGAACAGAGGACTTCAAATCAACACAGAGATAGTAATCAGATGCAAAAACAAATGGTACTAACCAATTTTTTTAAATTGTTTATATTCTTTGAGCAACGATTCAACTCATGAGGAGGATAATAGTAAATAATATCATTATTATTATTTGTTTTTATAACACATTTATGTTTTTATAACATAAATAGATCCTTGTCATTTAATTGGTGGATTTCATATTATGTGACATTGGTTATTTACACCATTCATCACTCATCATGAAAATTTAGTTCTACTACAATCTTTTCATTAGTTGAAAGAAGATGGACTGTTCCATTTAGAAAATATGTAGACTTAATTCTGTTTTTTTTTCATAAAATATAAAATGAAAAGAATCTATTTTAGGTGTGTTATAAAGCAAATTATTTTTTTTTTATTTGCACAATGGAAAGAATATTTTTATGAGATGAAAGATTGACTGTTCCATTCAACTTTGCTCCACCTCATTGAGTGGAACAGTCAATCTTTCAACAAATGATAATATTTTCCAATTGCACTCAAACATTAATTATATGTTTAAAAATGAACCTTCTTTGGTTGTAAAACAAGACAACCAAAGACAAAATCGAAACGATCTTATTTTTCTATTTAAATGTTTAAACTGTAAGTTTGATTGTAACCTTGTGTCGAATTTTTATCTTCATGTTCCTGTGCGCAGGCTTCGTACCAATCATTTGTTAAAAGTTCCGTACTCTCGTGTTAATGTTTGTGCTAATGGTATTTTTCGTCGTGTTGCACTTTCTTATTATAATCTAGTTCAAATTTTTCCTAATACTGTATTGATATTTTTAATTGTAATATTTCTATTTTTAATCTTATACTAAATACCGGTTTTTAATATATTATTACGATTTTTTTATGCTTTTTATGTTTTTTTTTTTTTTTTATAATTTTCATATATTTTTATGAATGATATTGTATATTTTTATGGCGACTTTGTTTTTGGTGTTTTTGATACACTGTTGAGTCTTGAATAAATAAATAAATAAATAAATAAAAATATTATATTTCGATTCCAAATTTGTCTTTATAAAAATTGATTGATGGATTGAGTTGATTTGTTGCCTTCAACTAATGAAATGTTTGATTATAATAATCATTTTATTTTGAAAATTATACAATTGACTGCATCATATAGTGAAATTCAACTGACGTACAAAATACTGTACTGATAAACTGTGTAAAATCAGTTAGAATAGACAATACAATTAAAATAATTAAAACCTTTTATTGCTGTTGGCAATATTCTTTACAATCAACCAATGAGAGGTCTATCAGAATTGTTTTCTCAACTGAATTTTTAAAATTTAATAATTTATTTCTGAGAATATGAAAGAAATTAACTTGGTGACAACAGAATCTGCCGTTTCAATTCGTTTCCAGTAACCACCTGGAATAGAAGTGATAAAAATGATGGTGAACTTGCTCATTCTTAAGGTTTGATTGCTCTACTTTTAACTTTCCAGACATCATCAAGAAACCAGGAATCAAGTGACTCTAGCAGCTCATCATCGCCATCATCATCATCCAGTTCATCAGAAGATGACAGGCATTCGAAGAAGAGGAAAAAGAAGAAACACAGAAAGAAAGATGATTCATCAGACAGTGAGGAGGAATTTAAAAGAAAAGACAAGAAGAAGATGTCAAAAAAAGCTCAGGAGGAGAGGGAGGTGTCCAGAAGGAAAAGAGATGAAGAGTTTGATCATGATAGGAGGAAAGATAGAGAAAAAGGAAGAAACAAAGATGGAAAAGATCATCGAAAGAGAGAAAGGAGCCCAAGTCATGAAACACACCACAAAAACGACAGAGAAAGTGCCAGACACCAAAAATATGAGAGAGAAAGAAGTAGAAGTCGCGACAGACACCAAAATCGCAAAAGAGAAAGAAGCAGGAGTCGTGACAGGCACCAAAGATATGAAAGAGAAAGAAGCAGGAGTCGTGACAGACAACAAAGATATGAAAGAGAAAGAAGCAGGGATCGTGACAGGCACCAAAGACATGAAAGAGATCGAAGTAGAAGTCGCGAGAGACACCAAAAACGTGATAGAGAAAGAGATAGAAATAAGTACAATTCCAGGAGTCATCGAGACCGAAGGTGATAACCAAGCTTTTACTATGATGGGTGTTTTCAAAAGCTTACATATGGGTGATGTTTGACCGTGTTAAGTCTGGTTTCCATAGAATCGTACACAGTCGCTACAGCGTTCTCGCATCAAACCTTGTACTGCGTAGCTACAACTAACGCAATCAGGAATGCTTCTCTGATTCAACTGGCCAACCAGCGTTGCCAAAGGAGTACATACTTGGGAACCAAAACTATATTCCTGCTGCAGAGTATTAAGAATTAAATCATGGGATTCTTTGTCTTGGTGTAAAGTTAAAAAATAATTTTTTTAAATGATGAGGTATATACACAATTGGTTATTCCTTATACTGTATAAAGTACAGGCTAGGCTAGATTATAAATATGTTTTTATTGTGGAAATTTTAAATATGCAAATCAGTCAATTCATTTAGCTTATTTAATATCGTCAGTGGCTGCAAATTTTGTAACCAATTTCTGCCATTTAGCTCTTTATTATTTGAACTGGTGACGCCAAAGATTCCCCAACTAAGGTTCCGAAGTCCTTTGTAGCAGACCAAGCTCCTCTACGAGAAGTCGAAGATACATCTAAGATCCACCATGACTGGAACAAATTTTAAGAATAGTAATCTAGAGGCTTGGAAATTGCACTATCAGGCAAAAGAATTGATTTTTCAAAGCAGTGTTCCCTGACATTTTTGGCTTCTTCCCCGATTTGGTTTTTGTGGCTCCTTGGACCCTTTGCTGGTTCTGCTCAAAAGAAAACCCAGAACGCGTTCAAATGCATACATAGATACTCGTCATTACTATTACATTTTTTTTATTCAAGTTACTTTAATTTGATATATTCTGATTAACGACTAATAATGATAAAAAATAAATAAATTTGCAATTAAGTGATTCTTGTTTTGTACCGCATGTATTATTTGAGGGCCCCTAATGAGCAGCAATGCTGGATGGGTCACCCTCTTGAAATATGGTATTAAATAAATAAATAGCATTCCTGTATTTTTAAAATAAGCTTTGAATATTGACTGGTATTCAATTTGACGATTTTTGTAAAAAGAATTTTTGAAAATTGTTTTCAATGTGTGTCACATTGGAAGTTGATAATGTATTTGATCCTATTAAACATTTTGAAAGAATTCTTAAGTGTTTTTTTTTTTTTTTTTGGTTTTACCACAACATCGGTACAAATTGGAAACCCCAGAAATCATTTCTTTATTTCATTTTACTGTACAGTTGAGTCATCACACAAACACAACTATATTGCAATTTCTGCTACTTTATTATCTTCGTTTAAGAAGATAATTGTTCGATATATCATCGACTTGAGAAGACATTTTGAATGATGGCATTTCTTTTGAATCTTGTATTGTTCTTTTCATACGAAAGCCCAATATACTTCATAATGCACTAATTTGTGTTTTTGCAGGCACGAGACTTAAAAATTCAAACCTCCCTTCCTGGAAATTTTATTTTCTAATTGCTCGAAAATGCATTCAGGATCTACATTTTTCCTTTTTACTTGAGAATGCATGCATTTCAGGTCATCTCCACACAATTTATTTTTACACTGTACGCGTCCTTTGATCTTATCCGACAGTGTTTTATAAAACAACATACTGTATCTACAGTGTTTATAGTGCAGCTTGTTGGTGAACATGATGTTACCATTATATTTTAAATACTGTAGAACATAGAGGATTTTAAAATAGAAGGGGCTACAAAAGATCACAAATCATCCATATATTTTTATAACAGGCATTATATTTAAGAATGAGATTTAGATCCTGCGAGACCGATCCCAAATGCGTGATTTTCACGCCGAATGTGTGACTTCTTTAGTTGTAACTTTTGAATATTATTATTCAAATGTATTACATTGAGAATTAACTACAGTATTAACATTAACTGGATTTTAAGAACAAAATCAATGTGACAAATTGCAATTAATGTAATTATGAATTTATTTTAATTCACAAACAGTCCACATTTTTAAGATGAAAAATAAATAATACAGCATTTGAATTCTCAACATAAATCTTCAGAAATAATTGTCCAGGTTAAAGTACATAAACATTTATCACAGAAAACTTGATTGTACAGACAAACCTTAAGAACAACTCCACTCCATACACCTTGCGGAGTTTACTCTATCATACAAGTGGCGGGCCATTTGCAGTTGAATGAGTATCAAATTTTAAAAGTTACTGAATACTGCTGCAATAAAAATATTAAATACTGAATACAGAATTGCATATTAAAATAGAACAAGGCCTACAGGATAGATGTGTTCTCTGTAATACTATGCGAAATACAGCATCTATGTACATTTACTGTAGAATGGTCACTACAATTAATACTCAGGAGGATGGACGTTTCTGCTAAGCCCCGTCCCTCGGAGGTTGTTGCTAGGTCCGACAAAACAACAATGTTTGAGGGACAACATGCACATATCCCTTTCACTGATCCGACGAGCTCCAGAAAGGTTTATAGGCTGACGGATTAGGCGAGATTTTTTATTCCCTGTTTCGCAAACTGATTTTTTTAAACATTGTCAGAGGAGGGCGGAAAAAAATAAAAATAAAATGTTGCTTTCTTATTTAGCAAATGGTGTTTGCCAAAAAACATCCAGATGGAGGAGAAAATAATAATAAAATGTTATTGTTGAAAGTAAACCATGTAGTAATGGGATGGTTAAATTCTTTAAATTTATAAAATTATAAAGAAAAATACATATCTTATTTTCAGAGATTTCAAAGCAGCGGCGGGTGTAATAAAAAGAAAGAAAAACTTTATTTTTTCTGAAATTTTCAATTTTTTTGTGGCAGCGGGTGTGCTAATTGGCCAAAAATGAAACTTTATTTTTATTAGAATTCATCATTTTTGGCAAGTGGTGGGTTCGCTTGACAAGGTATAAAAAAAGTTCTACCTTAGTATAATTTGCTACATATGCACAATATTGGGATCCACTTTTATTGATAAAATTAATACTAAGTACATTCAGATTAAAAATCTAACATTTTAACACATTAGGCCTACAATAAATTAAAATCTATACATCTGGTCCAGTAAATATATCTTGGCTATCTCTAAGTAACTAAAAATTCAGTATAAAAATTTCTTTTCTTTAATAAACTATATAAAACTCAACATACCCATTACTACTCCCTAAATCTCTGGTCACACACAGTACGTATTTCGCAGTTACATCCTTCCCATAATACCGACTATCATGGGGAAGGTGTCTGACAGGACCTCAATTTTAGGCAGAGGTCAAGGGGCAAACACTGGTGGGGGTCCTGAGAAAAGGGTTCCTCATTCTATAATCTTTGAATGAAACTGCAGGTTGGAAGCCCCAGCAAACACAACTTTATAGATATGAAAGGAAATAACCTAGTAAACTGCCACGTTTTCACAACGTTGAAGTAAAATTTATATTGTTAGCAAGATCTATATACTTTTTCCCACCACAAAATTAAATAATTTAGTCAGCACACCATATGAAAACATGATAACTGGTCCTTTTGTATTATACTCTCTTTATGTAGCATAACATTTTTTAATTAGGAAGATAATAAATAATAAATATTTACATATTTTTAGCACCATGTTTTAACAAACTCAAAGCATCAGTACTAGTGGCGGATGTAAGGAGGTGAACAGGGTGGCTAGCCACTCCCCTTCGGTTACCGTGAAAAAAAATGGTCACTGTCTTGTGAGTGTGCTTCATGTGGGAATCTCAAATGGGAGGGGATACCCCACCAAAACCACCCCCCCCCCCACTTCCCAAGTGCATCCCTTAGTGCCTCTCGCATTATCCACCACTCATTGCTAAATCCTAGATCCACCACGGAGTGCTTAACACCTTAAGCAGGGTACTCACTGTGGTAGTCGGCCGACGCGATTCTATGGAGAATGCAACACCATGACATACGACAGTTGTGCAATGCAATGAGAGCCCGGCTTTATACTGTGCAAACTATTGTGTCGGGAAACACATTACAGTTCAAATACAAATAAGTTAAAATTCTTTCTATTATTTTTACTAACATTTCAAAACTCTATAAAATTTTGGTGGGTAAAGAAATACATAACTTTTTGTTTACCTTAATGTGGATTTGTTATAAGGCCAACAAAAATGAGTTTATGCCTAAAAAAGCAGAAAATACACAAATAATACAACAATTAGGTATTCGCATCGCGTACCATCCTGCAAAATAAGCCTGGCCAATGCTATTCCAGCCTTATATGCTCATAAAAGAATATTGTTCATTGTAGTAAAGAAAAAGAAAAAGCTAAAATGCCAACCCAGAATTTTGTAAAATTTGGGTCGGTCGGGTGTGGCCAACAAAATATATATTTTTTTATTTGGCTTAATAAAGGTTCCAAAAGTTCCACTCTCAAATAAGGGCTACACCAGAAGAAGTATACAGTGGCACCCTCTAATTTGAGACCACTTTTCCAAAGACCAAATAACTATCTTCAACCTTTTGATACAAAGCTAGCCCTCTAACTGACGACCAACCCCAAGACCACCCCAAATTTTCAGGTCCCGAAAGTGGTTATTATTATAAATTATACAATTTCTCCCCATAAACCTCACCAGATTATATTTCTGGAACCCTGACCGAGGCTCTAGGTGGCGCCCCGGTTGAATATCCCCTGTCAGAGTTGTTGGACCACCTGTGTGCAACATTCTGGTGCCACCGCTGTTCACAAGTATTTCCATGTCAACTCTTGTTGTATTTTTGTTTTTCAAACAAATGTTTATCGATTTTTCTAACTAGTTCTTCTGCACACTTGCTGAGAATGTCGACAGCCTGGACACTGTGTTCGGAGAGGTTTCCGAAGGATTTGATGTTCTCACGAAAATCAGTGAATCGTTTACGGACCAGAATCATCGACCATACCAAGACATAAGGTACTGTAAGTAAAATGGAACCCTACAAGTTAAATGAATGGAGCTGGGCAATCATGGATGGTATTGTATTTGGCTATATTCATTATTCAAAATGTTTTATACTCATTTACATACTAAGGTCTCCCAGATGTAGCATGCTTCTATGGAACGCACAAGTTGCCAAAATTGTTCAGTGGAGTGCATGTAACAATAAATTCATTTCACAAACTGATGATTCTGTGTTTTTTATCATGTCATTAGTGGTTCGATAGTAGATAGAAGTATGTTTTTGTTTCAGTTATCACTGACTTTTAGTAGTCTAGATTTTGTGTAAGCACACGTATACCATGTATTTTGCACTATACAAGTCCCCAGTCTATAGAAAGTAAAAGAAATACAAGATGGTTTCACACTAGCATGATTCAATAACTGATTTATCATGTACACAATAACAAAATATTTTCACAACTCAAATGACGTCATAAAAATGATAAAATTGTACAGTAGTATTAATAAAGATTTTATAGGGTTTTTCCATGAAGATGAGGTCATATGATTTGATTTGTGAAATTATTTTTTTATTGTATACAGACAAATCATTATCTAATCGTGCTAGTGTGAAATCTCATCTTATTTCTTTTTTTTTCTATATGAACAATGGCTTTTTTACCTTTTATGTTAGATTTTATGTTTTTGTTTCAAATGATCACCGACTCAGTCCAGGTCATTGTATCTGAATCCTGAATGCTATGATTATTTATGTTTTCAGAATCAACCACATTGTGATTCTTGATGACCCATTCGATGATCCGGAGGGATTGGTTGTTCCTGACAGGTCACCTGAGCCAACAAAAGACCAATTAGAAGTAGGTGCCTGTTAGCATGTAGGGGGTTACCCTGGTGTACTGGTCACAGCCTCTGTTTTTACTGGGTAACACAAACAGGAATTGACCCTCAGAGTATAAATCTCGAGTAGCTGTTATATTTTTAAAATTCAATTGTGAATGTATTTGGCCTGTGCTGAAAATTTTGGCCTGGCCAGGAATATTCCCAATATTCAAAATCTGCTTTAAAGACTTTTAATGTTTGTAAATCAACTCAGAATCTTTGTTGTTATTAAATTCATGTAGTAAACATATCAGAAACATTAAAACCTAATTTTTGTCAAAATACGACATCATACGTATTTTCTTGAATATATAAAATTGCATAGGCATACAACATGGCACCATACATACTGTAAATGCCAAATTTATTGGTTAATATTATTGTTTTGTAATTTTATATTTTGTTAATGAAATTACTATCAAAACCATCAAATTAACGTCTTCTTTTCTATCTTCTCAGAGTGGTCGTATTTGAGCTGATTAAGATATTAATAAAGATAAAGAAAAAACAGAAGAACAATTGATGGAAGAACGAGAGACCAAGGAAGCTAAAGCCAATGCTCAAATTCTAGAGATGGTATGAATACTGTTCCCTTAAATTTTCCTATTAAATTGCAAAAATACAATGTTGCTAGCGCCCTCAATGCATGAAAATGAAGCACAAATTTTGGTATCACCCATCATATATAAAAATGCAGTGCAAAAAAAAACATGTGACATGCCTGAATATGTTAATGATGACATCACATCATGACCATATATAGACACATCATGGCCATATATAGGCACACCATAACTATATATGGGCATACAACAAATTTTTGTGGAAAAAAATTTGATATTCTGGACATAGGTTTAGCTTGGCTGACCAGACCACAATATTAGACCACTGCTACCACTGCAGTGTTACATTAAAAATGATTATTATAATTATTTAATATTTTATTTTATACCAGGTAGGGGATATTCCAGATGCTGATATAAAGCCTCCAGAGAATGTGCTGTTTGTGTGCAAACTGAATCCTGTCACAACATCCGATGATTTGCAGATTATATTCTCTAGATTTGGACAAATTAATAGGTAAATTACTAAGTGTAAAGATTAATTGTGTTTAATTTAATTTAGTTTTACTATTACTATTATTATAGATATTCTCCTTATTTTGTATTATATATATATTATTATTTTCATTATTCTTTTATAATTTGTATTATGATTATTTGGAATATTTTATATTATTAACCTTTACATGCCTGATATTTTTTATGTAATTTGATACTTTTCAGGAAATTAAATATTGTGGTTAAACCACTGAACTAATTATAGCAAAACTATATATTCTTGTAAAGTGTATGAGTTCCTCTAAAATGGAAAATTAATATTACTAATTAATTTATTCAAAATGGCGGAAAAAACAGTTATTTCCAAAAGATCGTAAAAATTCACATCTAAGAATTTTTTTTTTTTTCATTGAAAGCACCAGAATTATTTAGCACCCATGGATATGGCATCATATAGTTTTCTATTACCATACTTTTAATTTATAAGTACATAACTAATAGCCATTGTGCATTGCAGTTGTGAAGTGATTAAGGATATGAAGACACAGGAATCATTGCAGTACGCTTTCATAGAATTCGAAAGGGTGAGTGAGGCCTCCATATATGCAATAATACACATGCGAAACAGAGAATATGAATCACTTACTACATTCTGTATTCTCTGGTTCCCAGCTAGTGGAAAGGGATAAGGAATTTAATTCACTTACTGGTACTTGATTGAAATATATGTAAACAAATACCGTAAAAACCTCGAATTGAAGTCCAGTGGGCTTAATCTCGAGATGAAGCCCATCTCCAATTGAAGCCCCCTCTTTAGTTTAGAAAATTAGCCTCGAAAAGAAGCCCATGGCTTCCTTTCAAGATAACATAGGCTTCTTTTCGAGCTAGTACAGAACATACATTTCAAAAAACGAAATAAATAAAAAAACAAGCTTGGTTTATACAGTAGTTTAGGTGATTTAATGCCAGTTAAATACCTTCCATGATACAGATTGATGTTACAGTATGACCCTCCACCTACTACAGTACTGTATTTACTTAGAAACAGAGGCTTTTCCCCACCCAGAGTATAAATGGGTACCTGGTGGGGTTGCCTGCTCCTGTGCTGATTACCAGCAGTAACACTTCGCATGTGGACCTAATAACCAGGGAAAAGAACTGCGCTTTATAACTGCAAGGAAGAGGTGCATTATAAATGCCATACCAGTACCAATACCAGTTAAAATAAATAAATAATAACAATACTTCCTTTGTTAAAATGATTCAGGTAGAAGATTGTGAACAAGCATACTTCAAGATGGACAATGTTTTAATTGATGATAGACGCATACACGTTGATTTCAGCCAGTCTGTTGCTAAATTAAACCAGAACCAGAAATGTAAGTTTATTAGACAGTGTGTAGATTTGTTGTAACATTGCATTCAATATGGTTACTGATGTCAGTGTCCTACAATGAGCTATTGGTTCCTATTGATTGCAGTATGAGTACATTTTCTGCATGATTAAAATCAAAATGTTGCTGGGTTTGGTCTACAGGAGCTCGTGCTTGGACAGGTCATTCAAATTTTTTTTATTTTTTTTATTGCCTTTACATCCAACAGCAAGTACACTCGCCACTTACAGGATGAGAATGATGCTTAATAAACCAAGTCTCTTTATGAGGCTAAGGGAGTGGAGTTGTTTTAGTCGTGAGAAAAATTCCTGCTGTGACAGGAATTGAACCCAGGACCCTGGGATCAGAAGACAAGCATCTTAACCACTGAGCATTTCAACTTCGCTCCTTCTCTATATAAGAAGCCTTTAATGGTGAAAGCATACCTGTCAATTTAGCCGTTGTAGCCTAGGTCAATACATAACTCGAGTTATATAAAGTTGATTACAAGATTGAAAATTGTTAATCTTCTTAATAAAGTGATTACTATGTCCATATTTAAATTTATGTTTTTTATTTTAATATAAATTTTATATAGGTGTACAGTATAGGTAAACCTTGCAGTGACGGACTTATTAGTCTTTTGAAAGATGTAACCACACGTAGATAAATAATAATAACGTGCTCAAATAGGAACAAGTTTTAATAATCATGTGGTAGTTTAGTTGGACAACAAACAAAGAAGATGACAACCACAAACTTTCCCGGTTCCTTCGGTAATTTAAGAAGAGATTCAAAGATCATCACAATCATGTCGGTGTGCATGCAATGACACCATAAAAAATCTTTTGTATTGTAAATATTGTATCGCATCTCAAACAATAATTGACTATTTGTAATACATTCCTGGATTTAAACAAAAATTTGAAAGACCACAACCATCGTTAACTGGCATCACCTGCCTCTGCACCATTCTACTGTGTTCAGTCCAGGAATAAATCATTATAATTAATTAACAACGTAAAGATAATAATAATATTTAAACATTGTAATACGTAAAATATTCCGTAATGCATACATTCTATCATTTTTTGTGTTGAAATCAGTTTTTCGAAGCTTTGGGCTAATACCCATTTCACACTAGCAGAAAATATTACAACTTTTAACAATTATTAACAAGTTGTAACAAGTTTGATATTCCGAGATTTTTGGTTCGTTTCACACATGCACTTTCAAACCATGAGAAATCTCGGGAAAACTCAGAAGAATAATGACTAGGCCTAGAGGCGTAGGGTAGTACTAGTAGTAGGCCAGGCTAGTTGTAGGTTGTCTGAATTACATATCAACTACTAAACTAGGCCTGGTACCGAATTAACAAGATTATAATTATTCCATGGTCCTTAGCCTTCCGAGAGTAAAACGAATTCAACTCCTAGCTCGCTTGCTGTAGTCGAGCTGGCGAGAAAGATAGGCCTAGTCAGGCTAGCTAGGCGCAGCCGTGCCGCCGGCCGGTAGCTCACCATTGTTGTTAGAGGCAATCAGTGCGACAAGCATCATAATGATTCGCTGTCGGCGTATTTTACGAAGCCTCATGATTGTTTCTACATCAGACATGTGAAATTTAGCGAGATTCCTTTTGATTTTAGGTCTAGGCCTATTAACAAATGGTAGTAATGTTGATACGTTTTCCATCGCTGTCGCCATTCGTTCGAACTAAACAAAAAAAAAAAACAGCCCGCGAAAAGGTCAAAATATGGATATGAAACTCAGAAGATTTCGGGAAAAAACCGTGCCTCGCGATGGTCTGTTTTTGTTCCGAGATAACTCAGGGGACTCCTGTGAAATCTCGGAAAGTTTTACAAGGATTTGCTTTCACACTCATCCAAAACTGGTTACAACTTGTTACAAGTTGTTAATATTTTGCAAAATAGCATCAGTGTGAAATGGGTATAAGAGTGTTTAGGTACTAGTTTTAAAGCTATATTTCCTGTTAGCATTTTATAATTAATGTTAATGTTATATTTCCTGCTTCTTTGAAATTTACATTCATAGTTGGTTACTTTTGTTGGTATTATTTGCATTGTACCTATGACTCCTTCATCAACTATACTTACAGTAGCTCTAGGCACAGCATTCTTTAGTCTTTTAGTACAAATGATCTTCCTTGAATAGATTTTTCTTTACAATTCTGAGTTGCTTTAGTATTCACTTTTCACACAATTCATATCCTACGCCAGTGGGGAAAAGAAACAACCACAGTACAAAGACTACAATCGGACACACTAGCAGTAGTGTACAACAAAGCTTTATTACAGCCAACAAAACAACGGTCCGATCAATCCAAGATGGAGTATCGAGAGACCGCCCATAGAGGGCGCCTAATCAAATCACAGTGTGTCAACACTGGCGCTATACATTGCTATTTTATTGCATTTCATTTCCTTTATTTTGTCTTCAGAAAACTTCAAATTCATGGACTGGCGAAAATACAGAACCAAAAGTACATACAATAGACACAAACATATTCATGAAATAAATAGAACTACAAGTAAATAGTAATTAGAATTTATTTAAAACTATACAGTGATGTGTATCAATTTTCTTATTTGTTAATGAATATTGTAATGTTATTCACCCAACTCAGAAGGCAAAATATAATACTTTATTTTAAGTGTAGATCAAAATAGCAAATAATTGAAAAAGTAAGACATCAGTGGCAATGAACGTGGTCATGAAAGTCAGGGTCCTGTCTGACCTATGTTAACACGTTGGCTGCTAGCGACGCGTATACTCACCCATAGGGTGTTGCTAAGGGCGCCGGGGATGAGTATACTTCATCAAAATCGTCAAAACTTCTTTGTTTTACATTGTAGAGCCATAAACTCAACGGCTGGTAGTTCAGGGAAGATACACCTAGACGATAACGTACAAATGACCTATGTATGTTTGTTGTGTTATGTTGCTGGTAGTACACTTGAGTGGCACAATAGGGACATCCTTTGAACATATACCAACCCATGCAAAAAGCAGACAAGATAACTTACACTTGGCATAGTCAATAAAACGTTATACCACAGTGCCGTCGACGAGTATACTTGCCCCCTAATATTTTCCCGCCAATTTATTAGACACATCATTTTGATAACATATGGCTAGATAAATTATTTAAAAAGTATGTTTGTACATGTAAACTTGTTTTGGCACACAGGAAAGAACCTTAAAATAAGGTTTAGCAGTCAGCGTGTTAATGGGAATTTAAATAGAAATGTTAATGTAATGTAATTCATATGATGATAGATCTAAGCAAGTTTTAATTTTACAAGACATAGTCGTAACAAAAATTTGGTAAGTGGTTTTCAAAGTTAGGGCATTAACTAATAAAAAATGTTGATTATAGGTTTTACACTTATTTCGTAGAAAAGGGTGTTTGTCCATGGAACATAATACTAAGGAAGAACATACTGTAGACCATAGATACTGTGAAAACAATTGGTTAAAGTAGCTTATAATTAATCTGTTTTTAACAAGAAAATAATGCAGGTATCTATAAAAAATATCTTATTAAAAGATGCATTTATATTAGCTAACAATCACTAGATATCCTAGACTAATAAAACCTATAAGTATGATCCTATACTTGGTTAGTTTAATAATTGACTTTTGATCCTATCTTCTTAATATTCCATTGCAGCCTTTGTATGTATTTAAATATCAAGCAAGAATCATCAGCATTGCATATTTTTTACAGCAATTAGCATACATAATATATTACTTAGCATGATTTTAATTATAGGCCCATATATTTAGCTATCTACAACTCACTACACCAAAAAGCCAGAATATATACCATCCAAACTAAATTTAAATTGTAAAGGCGTTGTGTACTCTATTTGCCTGTCATAAAGACAACTCTATTTACTGTATATATCATTATTTTTTAAAAGCAGAACTGATCGAATATTTTTTTATGTGAGCTCTTTTAGTCATTTGACTATAAAATTCATAGTTTTCTTTGGAAATTTGAATCATATACTGTAGATTTGTTGGAACATGGTGTTCATTACAGTTATTGGTGTTGTTCTCCTGAAATGAGCTGCGCTTCATCATTAAAAATAATAATATTTATTTGGCAAAGTAAAGTCTTGCTAGGAGCAAGGAGTAGGTATAAACCAAAACAGAAAACTGCTCTTATATTCCATCATCAAATACAGATGCAAAAGACATTGAAACATTAAATTTACAGTACCAGAACGAAAAGAGAAGTAACTAAAATTGAAATCTTAAAATCCTGATTTGAAGTTTACAATTAGAATTTTCAAAAATAAATAAAATTAGTATAAAAGAAGTTATTATTAGAAACACAAATATACAGTATTAAGGAAAAAAAATAGAGATAACAAATTAGTAGGCCTAATATATTAGATAAAGTATTTTGCTAGTTGAAATTGATGTGGATTTAAATAACAGATTAAACTTGCCTGAAGTCGACTTTGCCTAAGTCAAATAAATCGACTTTAGTTTACATGCCAAATTGTTGTGTTTTCCATTAATTTACAATAATTATGTAAGTCAAATTTTATCTAAGTCGAACAATTTTTCAATGGCATTTTGGATTTGACAGGCAAGTTCAACTGTATATGGGAAAAATGATTGCAGGTTTAAGCTCCCTAACTTTGTTAATACTGATTCATACGAATGGCATTAGATTGCTTGACATTTATGTAATCAGGAACTGGGTCCTCTTTGCCTTGAGGGTTCTGTAATGAGCTGTAGTTAGCTTCTTCTCTAGGATTCATGTCTGCATATGTTTCCAAACCCCTGTGATCAGTCGATTGTTGGACGTTAATGTAGTCGGGCACTTGGTCTGGTACACAAGTACTGTAGTCGTTACTTCTCTGCTGTTAGTGGCCTTTGTGCATTGGTTCAATTTGCTTGAGAGATGTATAATAACAGCTGTTTCAATGACAACAAGTGGGAACAGAACTGCTATGATGACAGATAGGACA